GCTGAGCTACTGCTACTGCCAACTTCACGTTTTATAATTTGCTACTGCTACTGCTGAGCTACTGCTACTGCCAACTTCACGTTTTATAATTTTGCTACTGCTACTGCTGAGCTACTGCTACTGCCAACTTCACGTTTTATAATTTTGCTACTGCTACTGCTGAGCTACTGCTACTGCCAACTTCACGTTTTATAATTTTGCTACTGCTACTGCTGACTGCTACTGCTACTGCCAACTTCACGTTTTATAATTTTGCTACTGCTACTGCTGAGCTACTGCTACTGCCAACTTCACGTTTTATAATTTTGCTACTGCTACTGCTGAGCTACTGCTACTGCCAACTTCACGTTTTATAATTTTGCTACTGCTACTGCTGAGCTACTGCTTCTGCCAACTGCACGTTTTATAATTTTGCTACTGCTAAGCTAAAGCTGAGCTATTGCTACTGCCAATTTCACGTTTTATAATTTTGCTACTGCTACTGCTGAGCTACTGCTACTGCCAACTTCACGTTTTATAATTTTGCTACTGCTACTGCTGAGCTACTGCTACTGCCAACTTCACGTTTTATAATTTTGCTACTGCTACTGCTGTCCTACTGCTACTGCCAACTTCACGTTTTATAATTTTGCTACTGCTACTGCTGAGCTACTGCTACTGCCAACTTCACGTTTTATAAATTTTGCTACTGCTACTGCTGAGCTACTGCTACTGCCAACTTCACGTTTTATAATTTTGCTACTGCTACTGCTGAGCTACTGCTACTGCCAACTTCACGTTTTATAATTTTGCTACTGCTACTGCTGAGCTACTGCTACTGCCAACTTCACGTTTTATAATTTTGCTACTGCTACTGCTGAGCTACTGCTACTGCCAACTTCACGTTTTATAATTTTGCTACTGCTACTGCTGAGCTACTGCTACTGCCAACTTCACGTTTTATAATTTTGCTACTGCTACTGCTGAGCTACTGCTACTGCCAACTTCACGTTTTATAATTTTGCTACTGCTACTGCTGAGCTACTGCTACTGCCAACTTCACGTTTTATAATTTTGCTACTGCTACTGCTGTCCCACTGCTACTGCCAACTTCACGTTTTATAATTTTGCTACTGCTACTGCTGAGCTACTGCTACTGCCAACTTCACGTTTTATAAATTTGCTACTGCTACTGCTGAGCTACTGCTACTGCCAACTTCACGTTTTATAATTTTGCTACTGCTACTGCTGAGCTACTGCTACTGCCAATTTCACGTTTTATAACTTTGCTACTGCTACTGCTGAGCTACTGCTACTGCCAATTTCACATTTTATAAATTTGCTACTGCTACTGCTGAGCTACTGCTACTGCCAACTTCACATTTTATAATTTTGCTACTGCTACTGCTGAGCTACTGCTACTGCCAACTTCACGTTTTATAATTTTGCTACTGCTACTGCTGAGCTACTGCTACTGCCAACTTCACGTTTTATAATTTTGCTACTGCTACTGCTGAGCTACTGCTACTGCCAATTTCACGTTTTATAATTTTGCTACTGCTACTGCTGTCCTACTGCTACTGCCAACTTCACGTTTTATAAATTTGCTACTGCTACTGCTCACTGCTACTGCTAACTTCCTACCGGTCCAATGTACAATAACCTTCGTTATTATTTTAATTAGTTTAATTAACAGTTTTCCCATGAAAAAAATATTAATATAAGCTTTTATGTAATCTGGGTCTTTTCGACCCTTTTACAAGCTTGACATGCACGGTGTCTCCTGTCATCTCAGAATGATTTCTTACACAGAAGTGGTGTGGATTTTGTCAGCTTCTAAAGTTTTTACTGCAAAAAGACACGTTGTTAAAAATATCAGGTTTCTTTGTTGCCACATGAAGCTATAGGGGTAGAATATAGATTCTTAAACATTACAAAATTTTGAATGTTTATAAAGACAATTTAATGCAATATCGTTGCTTCCTTTTTGGGAATTTCTCGGTCTATGGGAGGGGATATTCCTCCCACACCCACTTGACTATAGATAGGTACAACTACAGGCCTTTATATTACGAAACATGCAAAGCGCCTGTTTGAATGCAATATTTCTAGTGATTCAGTTATTCAATCGCATGCAAAGTAATACAACTTTGATTCAAACGAATTGACAATTCACTCAAATGATTTTTGTCAACTTTTTTCCCCGGGGAATAGACCTTGGACCCCCTTATCTACAATGCGTATCCTTAAAATGTGTCAAGGTATGTCCCTGACTCGTGACATAAAGTCCTTACGTGCGTAAGTATGACTATCTGTTTGAACTAACGTATCAAAGTCTAACTGTAGTAGTTAGACTTTGATACGTTAGTTCAAACAGGCTCTTATAAAATTTGAGAACGGTGTAGTTATGGTAAAGTTAGGCCCTTATAAAATTTTCCTTTTGGACTCGATTTACTTACGCCCTACCAATCATTCTTCGATATTGAAGCCAAATTAAATGCAAGAGTAAAGATATCTAGTCAGCAGGTGCGCGATGACGTTCTAATTCGAATGGCGTAAAAACATGAAAAAGGGCGCAAGTACCACTTACGTCCTTATAGCACTAGACCGTCGATTAACGTAATATGGATAAAATCAATAGGATAATCGTAAACAACAGTTCCATTACCAATCTTAATACTCATTTACAGGTGAACGTTCTTCTTGTAGGAAAATTTTGAAAAGAAAAAGAATACGGCATCAATGTAGACCACAACGATATTCGAAATCCGGGTTTTAGTATTGCCAATAAAGTTAAGGGACAAGCTGTTAAACTGAGCCTGCAATTTCATGAAAATAATATCACAATGCACATGCTTTTTACATAAAGTTATTAAATACAAATATAACAACATATTTGTTTACTTGATTTTTACCAAAACTGATTAACACAACATGACATTAACTGCTAATAATAACAGCTCCTTCAATAGGCCTCCATAAGAGACGACGCCGCTCACCGGCGTCGCCATTAACAAACTTCAACGGGCTGAATGCAACATACTATATACCATAAATATATATTTCAATATAAAAATAAAAAAAGAATTCGACAAAATAAAGTTTAGAGAGATAAAATATATTAAATATTAGTAAGAGAAATAAAAATAATATTTTGAGCGGCCTAAATACCGGTAATCTGTTTACGGTTAAGACCTTCTTTTATCTTTATCGGATAGATACATAACTTGTGAAATACCGGCAACACTGTTTAGTCGGAAGACAATTTGCTTACAAGAAACTTCAATTGATACATAATATCACATTTCATGCAGTTCAAGATGTTTCACTGGGGGACGACACTTGTTATATTTGGGTGTTTAATTAATGTTTCTTCACTTGAAGAAAAAATTAACATCAAATGTGGAGAAGATTACAACATCCTGAAAAAGCTGATCGAACTTGAGGAAGAAGTTAAAGACCTTAAGACTAACCTAAGGGGTAAGTTTTTTTATCGTTGCAAAAATAACATTATAGCTTTTTTGAGAACGTAGGAAAAGTATAAAGATCATCATATAAATAATTTAAACGATGCATGTAGCTCAAAAAAGATTTTAGTATCAACTAAATCATCAATTATCATCAATTATCGTATTCACTTACTATTGAAAAGAAAGCTGCACAATTATAAGAGGCGTAAATTGAAACGGTTTTCGTTTTGATTAATCTCATTCTTAACTTTTTACAATGTAAATACTGGAATAAACATATAAGCCTGATACTTTCTTTAACAGAACATAGCAGCGAGAATGAAAAATGCAAGAATGTAGCATTTCGAGCCCAACTGACAAAGAGCCTTGGAACTGTTACTCTTGGACATAAAATTGTTTATGACAGTGTTGAACTTAACAATGGCAAAGCGTTTCATCCATTCCATGGAGTGTTTACTGCTCCGTGTGATGGGATATACCTCTTTTCGATCACGATCGGGAATGTAGGTAAACAGGGAGTGATTCATCTGAAGAAAAATGGCGAAACTATCGAATATGCATGGGCTGGTTACAACATAGGTTGGGATATGGGAGGTGTTACGACTGTGGCTAAACTTAACGCTGGTGATGACGTGTGGGTAGAGGGAAGAAAAATTATTGATGGTGTAAATACTCACGATGGGATTGGTGTTCGAAAACACACTGGCTTCGCGGGAGCGTTAATAAATGCACTGTAATTCGCCGTGTTCTAGAAAGCATTAATATGATGATTGTAACGACAAACCATGTGTGAAAAAATGTCTTTAGATTTGTGTAACAATTTTGAGATGATAATAAATAATTGCAATTTTAATTCCTTTGGTATGTCTTATATATGATTAGGCGGCTTGTTTTCTCGTATCCACTCATGTTCAACATCCAATTGTCATCCTGATAATTGCGATGATTCAGTTGTTCTCTGATAAAACATGCACACGTGATCAAAATACTGCATTAATTCTCTTAAGAAGGAGATTTGAAATAATTGTAATGCTTTTAAATTAAATTAAATTAAATTAGATACGATTTATCATCAAATATCCAAAACATTTCACTTATTCACATCATAATTAATCCCCAAAACAACCAAAGTCAAGGTAATAGAAATGACAGAGTTTGTTACTGTGACAAATCAAGTGATACATATTTGATTAAGAAAAGTTTTATTGAAGGGATCCACTGACGTCTTTTGATATGACAGGATACGAAATAATTTTGGAGGTTAATGTTCCATTTGATGAAGGTATACACCAATAAATGTGTACAAAAAATTCAGATCATTTGCTCACTTGATTTTACTAAAATAATTATTCTAATTGTGAAAAATGACCCGAAGCAGAAAAGCGTTGCAACGCTTTCACTCAAATTGGTCAAATGCCCGCTCTCGTCTTATCATTAAATTGTGGCTTATTAAGAATATAATTACCGTGCGTTCGTTTATTTGCGATAACTTTACTTATTTTGTGAATAAATATTCATTTTAGTAGAGTATTACAAATAAAAAGCAATTACATTTCATGTACTTGGTCAGAATCTGGGTAACTGATATCAGTACTCATTCTACGTCTGAAATGGTCATCAATATCCAAATATCTGTAAATGACAAAGATATGGTAATTTAAGCAAAATTCATTGTGACCTCGATGTAAAGGTCATTTCAATGTCAATATTATAGTTGAACTATTCAAGATGTCCGTCCTGTCATAAATATATGAATGACATCTGATCATTGATAACAAAGAAATGGCAGTTTAATCACAATTCAATAATTTGACTTTAAAATATGTCTTTATTTTTATTATTCAAAGGCAAATAATTCTTGACATATTCAGTCGATTTAGCTCATAAATGAATTTGATCGATACCTCATTGCTATACATATTCTGTATAAAAAATTTAAAGAATGGAGAAGAAACGAAAGCACTAACAATGTGAAATATAGTGGGTTTTTTTTGTTTTTTGTTTGTTTTTTGTTTGTTAGATTTAGCCTATAATCTAACTTTGTTGAGATTTCATGGTGAAAATTGTCAAGATTGATGAAGAAATAAAAGCGTTGGAGTGGTAACAATGTGAAATATAACAGATATTGTAATTCAAGGGCAGATAACTCTGGACATATTGCTTAGGGTATGTGGATACTAGAGTGGTAACAAGCTAAATTTGGACGGACAGACAGACAGGCGCATACTCAGGTGAGCTAAAATTAACACACAATAACACCTAATAATAACTGGTCAAAATTAATTTAAAATATGGACGTTATATGCGGCAGGACCATGCCTTTTTGCCGCAAAATGTACGTCAGAAAAATGTGGACGATATGCGCCGCAAAACGTCCATATATCTACGTACGTTTTGCGTTATGGACGTTTTGCGATGTTAAAGGGCGTGTGCAACGGCATAGATTAATTTTTTATTTAGAAACAGTGACGTCACCTGTCTATCGACAATTAGGCTGAATTAGGCATCACAACTTCTGCTGGTTCTTCCGACTTCTGTGTTCTGTTCTGGTGCCATTGTCTTGAACATAATGTTGACCAGTCTCTTCAAAGAAGCCTTGACAGCCAGAGAACTTGTGACAGGTTAGATTGTCGTTTTGCATGGCCACAGCAATTTGTAAAATAAAGTAAAATAACCAGAATCAAAATGCTGAATTTACGAGGTTAACGCATTACGTTATCACAACTTATAATGTCTAAGAATGACATTGCTAACCATTATGAAGCATCCCTATGAGCAAAGTTTAATATATTAAAGGGTAGATCTACCTGGACAATCAGTCAACATAATTTATGGGTAGATAAAGTTTTATATCAATACTTTATAAACATCAACACAATGATATACTGTCAGGGCATTTATTACAATGTATACTCCACTAGTCACAAGGTATTTGTTACGTCATAAAGTCTAGTGATGACGTGACCATTTTTTTTAAATAAACCTTCAACAATGTCTTTAGTAGGGTCACTTTTTCTCAGACTTTCTCTGGCCTTCAGCCCAGTATTGCTAATACTAATAGATCTAGATTGTTCGTAATAACAATTTGAAAAATTGGTTTGTTAGATAAATTTAACACAATATTGTCATAAAATACTAGTCCTAGAAGACAACTCTACCTTCGGCTACTTTAAAAAAACACAAAAATGAAGTCTTTTTGCCATGTTTGTTCAGAACCGCTCCATAATTTTTTTCTCCAAAATTTTTACGTGTCGGTTCAGGGCAGCTTCAGGAGCTGACGGAGACTGGGTCGAAAAGGAATATGCAGAAGCGGGCTCGGTTTATATACCCAGTCTACTAAGCATGCGCGAACGAGATTGAATGACTTGTTAGGAGGAGGAGCCAAATATACAGGCCATTGCAAAAATACTGTGACGTATAGCGTAAAAATAAAGAGTTTAAACTCAAGCGCTTAAACTGAATATTAAATATGTTTCCAAATCTGCTAGTATATAATAATTATTGTCGATGGTATAATTATCTTTATATTTATTATTATTATTATTATTATTATTATTATTATTATTATTATTATTATTATTATTATTATAGAAACGGCAAAAGTCGTCCATATGGCAAAAACTCCGAAAATAATATGCACGATATGCCGTCCCTATGGCAGTGAAAGGGTTAAAAGTAAAATCTTGCGAAGGGAATAAAGAAAGTAATTAAAATTTACCACAAAGGGGTCAAAATACAATGTTTGCGAATATAACTCTTACAATAAATTTTTGTGATATATTCTATTAGCATGCTGCTTTAAAAGTAGAACATTACGTTTTTATAATTTATGTGCAAATTTATGTCAATATTATCCAAACAGTATGTTCTTTTCATAAAATCCATAACGACCGTAAAGGCCTCAACAGACGGTAGGATTTAGTTGTACAGCACTAATTAGAGATAAGATGTACACTTTTCAAAGCTATACAACACTTGCATTCAGACGGTAATTCTACACTGTAAGAATCATCTGAGGTTTCCCCTACAAAGGATCCTTTTATATTGATCCTTTACATACTTTACTCACTAAATACTTTTTTTCGCCATGAGTAATGATTGAAACACCTCCATTTAAAAAAAAATATAAATATTTTTTTAATGTGAAGCCTGACCGAGACTCAAACCTGGGACCCTCGGAATACCGTACTGCGGCTCTACTGACTAAGCTATCTGGCCGCCTACAAACTACCTCCCCTCCCCTAATTAGAGAACACTTCAATACCGTGACATAATCATTTTCGGAATAATTTGGGATTCGAGCATAACACAACTTTGGGTCTCCTGAAGAGTTTTCAACATCATTTTTACCCCATCATACTACTATGTTTACCTTTTAGCCCTAATTGTTCTGGAATTTCATTCATTACAACCATTATCAGGAGATAATTTGGTTATCTGTTACTTGTCATTGTGGGAGGTCTGTAAAAAATCTGTACAACAAGATTTTCAAAATAGAACATGTCCTATCCCTTACATCTAGACTTAAGGTTTCTGAAATCAAGAAATAGTAGCCTTCACACATTAAGATTTGTCTGTACATCTTAGTTTTAATTGGTGTTGTACTTCAAAATCCTACCGTCTGTTGAGGCAATAAGATGTCCATGGAATGGGTTTTTGTGCAATTAATGGTTATATATGGTGAGAAATCATCAGGTGCAACACTATATATCCTATTATGTATATAATATTAGTTATAAAGATTGTTGACAGGTTATATGGCCCTATATAAACGGCTGTTTGTAAATATAACCCGAGCCGCTAGGCGAGGGCTATATTGCAAACAGCCGTTTATATACGGCCATATAACCTATCAACAATCTTTATAACGAATTTATAATACAGCAAACATCATTTTTTAGAGAAAAAAGTAAGATTTCTTCATGAGTCGACAACAGCCGTGTATATAAAACTATATAAACGTCACGATTATCCAATGAAAAGCGACATTACAAACTTGCAGTATTATAATGTATGAAAAATAGTAAATTTGTAAAAACTATAAGACAAGATCCGGGTATTGGGTAACAGGATGTACTCCTACTGTAAAAAAGTAGATAATATCAAAAAGTGTGTTGTAAACGTAAACATATTATCCCTTTATAGATATACTATGCTCATGTATATAGTAATGGTAAAGGTAATGTAATATGCAACATAAAGGTAATGCAATATGCAACATAAAGGTTATGTTATATGCAACATAAAGGTTGCTTTTTAAAAGGCAATCTGAAGATAATGTAACATGGAGGTAATGTAACATAAAATATGAAGGTAATTTAACATAACGGTGCATTGCTCCTTAAAAAATGACTGACAGCAATTTATGTTTACCCCCACCCAGCCAAAATCACACCTAAAATACATGTATACCAATATGGGCAATTTTCATGACGGTGCAGCATACTCCAGAATCCGCCCGATTCCTATAAAAGTATCACTAATACGCAGTGCAAGCTATGACATTTTCAAAAATGACCAAATAAAGTGTCTGTCATGCGTTTAGATTTTTTCACAAAAAATTTATCCGAAATTTCTTACTTGTTTGGCGCCAACTGTCAAAGCTTGATTTTTAACTTTTTAACCTCCATTCGGAGAGGTCACAAATAACATTTACAAAGCTACCAAAAAATGCTAAGTTTCGGGTAAAAACCCAAAAATACTGCTCATTTCCTACTTACAAACAAGAAAAAAATACAATGACAGAGAAATATCAGAAGTTTCCAGTACCTTCAAAACACCATGTCTGAGTTATTAAAAAAATTGACCGGGGCCTGCCATCATTCGAATATGTCCCCTGCCCCCTTAAATAGTCTTTATATCAACATTTTGTTATGTACGCCATTTGATTCAATGGGTTGCCTTGATCTTGACATGTTGTTGTTTACTTTGGTAGACTTGTAACCCTTATGAGACAAGCAAGATATGAACATATAAAGAAAGAAAGACAAAAAGAACGAAACAAACGTTTCGTATTTCAAACACGCATTACTAACTTCACTTTAATATAATGTTTTTATACATTTACCGGAGATGAAAGTCCTCATGCATAAATAAAGCGTTAATTTAAATTTCAGTACGCCTTACATCGCACATTTTGCAAAGTATTTGCTCTTAAATTGTAAGATTTTCCTATTGATTAGATCAGTATGCTTTTAAAATTGTTGACCAATAACTACTTACTGATTTGTTTATGTCCCAGCCAGCTATAAGCACGTAAACAACCAGAAAATGTAAAAAGTAAAGAAGATAAATGAATATTAGGCTACAACAAATTTATTTTGTAATGAAAAGATAATTGTTTTTTGATATTTTACTTGATAAAATAAGGAATTTTCTAATGAAGTATTTCTTTATTAAAATCAAATGTTACGATTATTTATTTAACCAATTGTAACTGTACTTCTGTTTAGTGAGATTCTTCGTCATAAGAAATAGAGGATTTGTTTAGTTCAGTGTAAGATTCGGAATATATTCACCGAGTGAGCACCAAAAGGTATATTTCACGAGTGGCGCAGCCACGAGTGAAATATGAACAACTTTTGGTGTTCAGAAGGTGAAATATATTTCGATCTTACACTAAACTAAACAAATTTTTTTTTTTATTACATGCAAAGAAACGTTTTAAAAAGACATAAAACCTAATGCTGAATGAAAAGCGCGCCAAATAATAATACAACGTGACGTCATTTACGACGTCACGTCATTAAGTTGGTACCCAGTATTGTGCACGCTGGTATTTCACTAAAACAACGTAAGGGGTTTTAATTCAAAACAGTGAAATTATCAAAGTGTAATTTCGCTGTTTCAAACCCGTGAATTACCCAGTTTTATATCACTGATTTTAGAGGATATATCAGGATGGAATATATTTCACCGAGTGAGCACCGAAAGGTATATTTCACGAGTGGCGCAGCCACGAGTGAAATATGAACTTTTGGTGTTCACGAGGTGAAATATATTTCGATCTTACATTAAACTAGACAAATTTTCTTTTTATTATATGCAAAAAAAAAACGTTTAAAAAGACATTTTTACCTAGTGCTAAATGAAAAGGGCGCCAAATAATAAAATTCTGGAAACTAAAGTGATCCCTCGGAAGCATTGACCCCAACAAAATTACATAAGAATTGCAGACTCGGTTTGATTGAGTCTGTACATGAGAGATAATGAATAAGTGCAACATCCCTCACGGCCCCTAGCACCGGCTTGAGCGGTACTCAATTCTCAACACTTAATTGTGCCGGCATCAATGATCCCGAAGGACCAGAAAATATAACAACACTGAATTACGACGTCACGTAATTAAGTTGGTTTCCAGTACTGTGAACGCTTATATTTCATTGAAACAACGCAACGGGCTCAAATATTCAAAACAGTGAAATTATCAAATTGATAATTTCACTGTTTCAAACAGTGAAATTACCAGTTTTTATTTCACTGATATATTTCTATAAACCACCGAAAAGCATGTAATAAATTTCTATAAACAACCGAAAAACATGTAATAAATAGTTATTTTAATTATTCTATTCAATTATTTGTTTGTCAGGATTATATCAGAAATGAATGTATTAGAAAATGACTAAATAATTTGTTTCACAGAATTGCTTTGTTTCTTTGTGATATTAGATATGATAATGTATAAAAAATAAAAGATAGAAGCGATTACTGGAATAGTCTAGTCGTTATCCGAAATCCTTTACAGATAAGATTAATGTTCAATTCAATGCAGATATATTCTATTTTATGTCACACCTTATAAAATAAAACCAATGCACTTTCAGCGTTTGCATCCCGTGATGTTCCTATAGAAATCGGTATTGAATATAATCTTATCAATCTAGCCTCGTTTTCATTTCCAGAGTCCAAAAGTCTATCACACCCCATATAGCCTTTACATTTCAAGTGTCCAAAAGGTTCAAATCAAATCAATATTACACCCAATATGGCCTCGTTTTCATTTCCAGAGTCCAAAGTTTCACAACAAATCCATGCCAGTCCCTGCATAGCCTTGTTTTTATTTCTGAGAGTTCAAAATCCATATGTTATCTTTATTGTAATTAAAGTAACAAATTTCCGTCGAAATGTCAAAAAATAGTGGTATGAAATCATTAAAATATTTGAAAACAATACTGATTCTATTGGACTAGTACCCAGCTGCAAAATCCATATCAAATCCTTAATGTAATTGAAGTAACGAAGTTCCGTCGATATGTCCTCATCCAATTTTGGTACAGCTTTATACTCGTCCAATATAATGCGGTATTGTACTCAAAAATGTGTAAAACTACATAGTTTATTACTTTTTAAATTATGAACTTATTCATTTTATGTACAGTAAGATATCTGAATACTGAGAATGTGATAATAAAAACAGCAGAAATGCTAAGTTATTTGAATTTAAAACTTTCATTTGTATGTTACTATAAACATTGCAATATATGGAGGATATTGAATGAGTGTAAGTTTAATACTGTATTTATTGAACGACTTGAATAAAATTATATTATGCGGGCCTCTGGCGAGCATAATATTATTTTATTCAACGAGTTCAATCAATTCAGTAATGAACTTACAAGAATTTATTATTCTATTTATCACATACCAAAAATAAAGACCGTTTGAAGTTAAAAAGAACCATTTTTCATTGACACGCCTATAGTATAACGTTAACATTTAGCGCGTCTTAAATTGTTTGTAAAACGCAAATTGACGTCACGTCGAAATATATGCATG